CGTTTTTTTTATAAAAAAAAAAAAAAAAAAAAAAAAAACTTTGCCCCCGAAAAAGCAAAAAAAAAAAAACACCTTTTTTTTTTTTTTTTCCTTTTGGGTTAGAAAAACACAGAAGCTACGGACAAATGGACAAACATTATATCATGGTCAATATTTAATTCAAGGCCTCCAATGACAAGCCTATGAGTTTTAATCCCAAAAAGTTAAATGTTGGAGCAAAATTGTTCATGCAGCTGTGAAATTGAACCGGATATTGCCAATGAGAAAAATTAAAACCACTAACTGCACTCACTCATCGTCCACCAACCAAACACGCCGCTTCCTACACGCTTTTCACCATCTTCAACCAAAACATTACCACGATGAAATATTACCAGTCGACGAATTTAAGGACTGAAAATTACAATGTTTATGATTACAAAATATTGCAGACCACCGTCTCTAGATTTCCCTGGGATCACAAGAAACGCCGAAGTCTCCAATGAGATATTGCCAGCGAACGCTCGGAAACTTACTTCCACAACTTAACAGAGTTGTCATGACTTGCGGATGCCACCATCCCGGAGACAGGTGACTGAGCCAAAGCTGAGATAATATCTTCGTGTGCTGTAATTGTCATGCTCTTATTCTCAGCCATGTTCCACAGCTCCAAAGACTACATCAGCCAGTAAATGGGGGAAAAACAAGACCCCCAAAAAAAAAAAATCTAAATATCAGCTCTTTTGAATATATTTGAGCATGTTTAATATAAAAAATACATTGATGCATGGAAGTTCACATTCTATAGGGCCGTCACTTTCTAGGAATTACTTACAGAAATTCCTCCAATAACTAAGAGAGTCGAGTAACTTGGGTGAAAAACACAAGAGTGAAACTGGTTGCCATTGGAGCTGAGCTCCTGAATGCAATCTCCTGTGGCTAATGACCAAATTTTCACCCAGTTCTGGCTTACGGATGCCAAATAATCTCCGTTCGCTTCCCAACATATGTAATTTACCATTTCAGAGTGTCCCTGACAATGAGATCCATAATTAATCATCACTACAATATAATCACTTCTTTCGAAAGCATCAGAATTAAAAAAACCAAATTAGTTCGTATCGATTAGTGCTCAATCCTAGCTTTGAGCCCTTAACTAACGGGTACTTAATTTTCATGGTACCTGGAATGAGTGTATTTGCTTGTCAGTTTCAACATCGAAGATGGCCACTACTTTATCTGATGCTGCCGCCAATAGATTACCAACTCTTGGTTGAAATCTAACTTGCGTAGTGCCTCCCTGTTCCAAGCAATGGCAATGCAGGCACGAATTATAAAGAGTGATGGTGATGCAAGATTTTGAGAACGCTGGACTTGAAATTAGCAGAGAGGACAAAAGTTACCTTCGAAATACGAACACAGGAGAATGGATTGATATTCCAGTAGCGAATTTCGTTTTCATGATCGCAGAAACAGAACAGCTCAGTTTTCTTAGGGTGGAAGTCAAGGGACATAACAGGTGAACTATGCAGCGTATATGCTTGTAAAGGATAGTTTGGCTGCCACACAACATTATGCCAAGAAAAAGAGAGCAAAGTAGTGATAAATACTGGATTCTAATTAGTGAAGTTCCTTATTTAGGGGGTTGCTAGAAATTTAACAGTGGAGCTTTACAGGAGAGAGAGAGAGAGATTTAATTTTACGTTGGCTGCATCCCATAATTTCACAGATTGATCAAACGAAGCTGTTCCTAGCTGAGTTGAATTTGGTCTGAAGCGAACATCAGTAATAACTGATTTGTGTTCTTCAGGTGTACTCTCCGTTTGCAGGGTATCCATGTTCCATAGAACAACCTGATCCAGACAACAAAAGTAACTAACTTCAACCTCTTGCAATCGGTGTTAGTTTGTTCCTTTTTAGTTCTAATATTCATTCTATTTATCCCTCCAACAAATATGAACATAATTTTTTATATGATTTCCATTTAGAAATTAACCTTTACACATGTATACACTTACAGGGTTCCCACATTTGACAAAACAAGTACGGCTCAGTAGACGATGTTGCTTACTACAGCAATATCATAAACGATAAAATTGATCTAAATAGACTATTATTCACCTGTCTCAAACATAGACATTCTAATACCCCTTAAACAAAATCCTCCTGATTCTAGTACCACGGGACTTTTCCAACATACTTCACAGAAGAAGGTCAAAGCCATGCCATTTGTTTTTGAATTAAAAACTACATAATATTAAGCAAATCCGATGGCGTTCGCATGCAAAAATAAGGTATCCATCTTTCAGTACAACAACTTGTTCATTTTGGTAGTTGCGTTCTCAAATAGAGTTGTACCTTTTTGTCATGACCAGCACTTGCTAGCAACTTGCCATCAGAAGAAAAGTGACAGCAAGTAACTTTACTATTTCTGGTTCGTATGCAACCAACTTCACCGAAAGTAAAACCTGAAAACAAAGAACGCGGCATGGCTAAGTAGAAAGAAGATGCCACAACAAACTCTGCACATACACAACGTAGTGTTAATTTACCTTTAGAAGGCTCTCTCTGGAGCTCAGGAGGACTCTGTTTTATTGTTCCATATAGGTCCCTTCTATCTCCATCATTCGACAAAAATGATTCCACATTTTCTTCTAAAGAATTAACATCCCCAAATCGATCTATGTCTTCCTGCACCAGGAAATATTATCCTTAGAAGCATGTTACTTTTTTCATACTCTAATTTATCTGTCCTGTTTTAGCATCTAAGATACGAATAAGTTTCAACGCACTCCAAATCAATCCCAAAAATGTTGGTCAGATGTTTGCCTAACCATACTGTCAAATTTTTTAAAAACATTTAATGGCAAAAAAAGTTCAAGTAGAAATAAAACATCACAATATATGTGAAGAAGAGAAACGAAAGTTACTTGAAAATCTATCTTATACTTTCTTTTGAGTTACTACAGTTGTGTCCAAGCAAAAAGTGGGAATAAAAGAAACTTCAGGTACACATACCAGCAAATTTGAAGAAGCCAGACCTCCGGTTCCTTCTGAACCGTACATCAACAAGCTTTTTGGCACCGTTGTGTTTATTCCATCACCAGGTGTGTGTGTTGATGGTGGAGAGCTTGGTGAAGGGCCAACTGTGTTTCCTGTACCAGTGCTATTGGCAGGTCCAGAAGACGAGTGTTGTATCCTTTTTCTGTTATTCTGCAGCATCAAATATGTCAATTAGGATAACTGAGTAAATAGTTGGAACTTCTCTAAAGGCAGAAGCATATAGAGGCAGCATAAGTCATGTTATGGTTGCAAATTAATTGGTTCAAGAGACTAACTCGCGGTTCTGAAGCTAGGTAATGAAATACAACACTATTTGCTTAATGTTGAATAACAGAACACAACCTGTTGCAGCTGCTGTTGTTGCACTTGATGTTGTTGTTGAGAGGAAGGATGTTGCCTCGGGGACATCTTTATCTGTTTATCACCCACCAAGACTCAAGTATGTTAGAACCTTGTAAAGGGAATGACGCATATGCACCCAATGACGAAGCCAAGAATTTGTCAGTCCATTAAGACGAAAATTTAATAGGGCTATATGATTAAATTTAAAAATATTTTACTATACTAAAATATATATTTATGTATACATTTCCTTTAAAAGAAAAATAGTTAAGTGAGCACTTGAGCCCCAACTAACCCTTAATTGGCTTTGTCCATGTATGCACCAGCCCTCAAAGTTTTTGATGCTCCGGGGCAATACCATGTGGTGCAATGTTAGCATGTCAAGGCTACATTACTTTGTCTAATATTGTGCTTTAGTAATTTAATCAGCTAAAGAGAAAACTCCAAGGAACACAATATTGACAAAAACATAATTTAGAACGTTTAATTATTTATTTAAAATTTGGGGAGAAGTGGGGAGGAGATTTCAGAAGTGATTGGAGAATCTTTACCTTTGGGGAGCTTGATTGCACTGGTGAGCACATAGATCCCTCGTTTCTTGTGGATTGACCATCTTTTGCATTCACGCCGCCCCTAGGCAGTCCACAAAACCTACGAGGATCCAAATCTCCGTAATTAGCTGCATTTCCAAGGTTGCTTTGAGCCTGAGCCTGTGCCAAGACTTGTTGTTGCTGTGATGACAGAAGGAACTGATTTTGCAAAGGCAAATTAGGCTTCTGTACTTGTATGCCCAAGCTTGGTCTTAGATGGTCAATGCCCTGCATGATTAAGTAGATTTCAAAGCAGGGAATCAAATAACTACATAGACCACAGATATCCAGGACAAAAAGACTAACGTCCGACTTACAGTTAAGGGCCAACCCTTCAAAGGAAGACTAGTGACGCCTTGATTCAATCCTAAGGAATAAAGCAAAACAATTATTCATGATACTATCCATAAACGATGACAATTTAAGCTTTTTTTTCCCACAACTTTGTATCTTATCATTTATTCTGTTTTATCTTGTATGTCAGAAAGAAAACATGTAACAAAAAGATCAAAACAAAATGTTAGGGTTCCCACATATAGCACTTTTAGATGGAACTGTATAAGATAAAGATTTCAGTTAGAAATGTTATCATCAAAAATAGATTGCAGCTTGAAATTATTGCTAAATAGGAATGCTCTACCAAACATGTATATTCTATAGTTTTTGTTAATCTGAGAAAAGACTAGAATTCGCAATGGTTTGATCAAGCCAAGCAGGTTACCTGGGACTCCAAGTCCAGATTTTGACTGCATAATTGCTTGTCCATAAATTGACGAAGGATCCATAGGCAAACTTTTCTGGGGTGCACCGATGTTAACTTCGCTTTTGATTTCCTACAATCTCCAGATACAAATTGCTCAGTGCAGTGACCAACAAAAGGAAAAACAATTGCACAAAAGAAAAAAGAAAAATGAAAACACACGCACGCACACATATGAAGAGGAGAATCTGAACTTGAGCTCATAGTTTGAGTATTTACAGCGGTCAAAGGATTCCGTGCCTGGATTTGTTGTAAAGCTGCAATATTCCCAGAATTACCTTGTACCAACTGGCTGAATACAACAAAAAACAGAAAATGAAATAACCCAGTACACGCAGACCATAACAAAATGTAATGTAATAAAACAAAACAAATCTCAAGTGCAAAAATTAAACTACAAATTTACCCTTGATGATTGGTTGCTGATTTCAGAAGGGCCATCCTATTTGCATCAATAAGTGCTGGAGATGTCTCAGACTCCATTGAGTGAGGGTGTTTCATGCGTTCTTCATACATTTTCATGGCTAACACACTGGCTGATGACTGCCCCATCACTCCTTCGGAGTTTATAGCATTTATAGGACCTCCAAGACCAGGATTATTAGGATCCCTTCGTTGTAATTGAGCATTACGTTGCTGTACGAATTGCAACTGCTGCAATTGAAGCTGTTGTTGCTCCCTCGCCTTAATTTGCTGGGCCTGAATTTATTGAAAATAAAGTAACATAAACTAAAATAATAAACAAATAAAGGAAAAAAAATACCCCAAATAATTCATTGACCCCGAAATGTATTTAAACAGACACCTCAATATAAGCAGCAGCAGGCTCAGAATGCTTTTCATTTGTCCTAGCAATGAATATGTCCCAGAAAACAGACCACCATTCAAACAGAAATCCTCCCGGTGCATCAATTGCTGCACAGTTGAATTTGGAAGTTAAAAAACAGTTGACTCTAAGAAATCAACTTTTCCTAATACAAGTGTGAAAGAATTTATTTCCCTTCATGTCATGTCTACTTAACATTCTCTTCATAACCCACAAGGTATTGGGGAAAACTTAAATTCATCATTCTTCAAAGCAAGTCTAATACCAAGAATCATTTCCATTCAAGGACTTAATAATGTCTGGCGCAATGTACAGGCTTCGTATTAGTGTAAAATCACAGTATCAAATGATTTAGCAAACTGAAAATTAAATGAAGAAACACCATAATGCAGTAACTGAACAAGCTTTGAAAAAAGGGGACAAATTTTGGGTCAATTATCTATCACAACATTACCTACTGGATCCATGGCAACCTTCCCTTCAGTCATAAACGCTTTCGCAGATGTATGCAATTTTCTTTTTAAAAAATAATCATGGATGTAGACATCCAGCCTACAGCAGAAAGTAATTGGGAAAACAACATCTATCAAACCGACAGGACATGCCGAATTACCAAAAGGAAAAACAAACGAAAACCAGAATAATTGAGAATAGCGAACTAAAAACAGAAGACAAAGCAGAGAATTGTTCATAAAGTCATACTTACATTTTATCGGCTTCCCAATTATTTTGTGCCATATTTTGTTTTGAAATTAAAACAAAATGGCCACTGTAAATCGCTATCGTCTGCAATCAAAACATCCATTAATTCACCTCAAAAGACATGCAATATAGAGAAAACAATGCCGCTTTTGGTTCCCAAGAAGCCCAAAGGTAAGGAAGACGTAAAAAAAAAAAAAAATGAAAGAAAGAAATTCAACGGCTGAATTTTCGTTTCTTTTTTTTTTGTTGTTCGCAGTACTTTTCTCAATTATGCCTCAAACTTCAAAATTGCATACCAAAATCTTTTTCTCTCCTCCTTCCTCCGGGTTTATCGAAACAAAAAAAGAAAATACAAAATACAAAATTCAAACAAAAATCGCAAAATTCAAACAGTTCTCGTCAAAATTAACACAATTCGTACCAGTATAATGGATCAAAAACTACGAAACTATTCCGAAGGATCTGCGCTTCACAAACCCTAAGGCGAGCTAATCAACCAATAATGCACAGAAAATCAGTAAATTTGATGAAAATTAAATTAAGGACGCTACTCCCGTACGGTGAGATTGATCGGAAACCTTCAAGTTTAAGTCCTTACTTAAATTCTCAGAAAGAGAGAATTTTACATTACGTTTTCTCTGGCGAGAAAATTTCTGACCTTTCTTTTTTCTCAGTGCAAGTGTAACTGAAGTAGAGAGGAGAGAAGCTCGAGCACAGAGCTCTGACAGTGAAAAGCGAAAAAGATACCGGGAAGAATAGGATATTTTGGAGGAAGCTAACGGAAGCTTCCGAAGCTGAGGTTCGGAGTAAAAAAGTCTTTCGAAGTTTGGGTTGGTTCGGAGTTGGTTTGGGAGTAAAAGTAAAGGCATATACGGCAGGTTTGGAGGGCTTGTTTGCCTCGAGTGATAAGTGACCGACTATACGTGTCGATCAAGCTTCCGAGAGAACACCGGCTCGTGCACGCGCGCGCCTCGTGGATCCGCATGCTGACGTGGATCGTGTAAGAGTGTTGTTGTGTACGGCATTTAATTGAGTGGCCACGTGTCCACCTGTCTTTTCCTTTTTTTTTTTCCTGACCGGACGTTTGTTTTTTGCGTTAATTTTTTATAGCATTATTTAACAAATAAAATATAAAGTAATATATTTTTTATTTTTTTTGTATCCTACATTAATACTACTGTAGCGTCATATATCTCACCTAATGTTACATCTTAGAATTCGGGTGATTCTATTTATTTCGTTGATTTGAGTTTAGAATTTGAGTTTTATTATAGTAAAAAGTTCTCATAAATAATCACATTTAACTTTTTTACTATAGTAAAGAGCTCTCACATAACGTCACATTTCAACTCGAATTAAAACTCGAATCAACGAACTAAACAGACACTGAATAATTATAAAACCATGATTAGTTTTATAATGCAATATTATAATCGTTAATGACTATTTTAGTTACTAGAAAAATTTAGGCATTGTTTATTTCGTAGATTTGAGTTTTCAATTCGAGTTGAGATGTAACATTTGCTGAGAGCTTTTTACTGTAGCAGAAAAAATTTGATGTGACATTTTCTGAGAGCTTTTTATTGTAAAAACCTAAAACTAAAAACTCGAATCAGTGAAATTAACGAGAATTTAATGTATTGGCGAGACAAAAGAGATAATTAAATACGTGCTAACACTTGTTTGTATTGTAATTATTTTCCATAAAGAAAATGTATTGTTCCCTAAAAATAAAAAGTATTGTAATTGTTTTAGAAGATTAATTTAGACTTTGTTCATTTCACAATTTAAATTTATTGTTACAATGTTTTTTTTTTCATAAAAATTTAAATTTAAATTTTTATAGTATTTTTCTCTCATACATACAACTCAAGTCGTAATTAAAGTTATGACTGAAATGAACATAAATTAAAAGTTATTTTTTACCATCATCTCATTACATGGTGACTTTAATACGCATGCATGTTTCACCCCTGAAGAAGAAAAAAAAAAGAAGAATAAGAAGAAAAAAGAAATTCTCAAGGGTCTTAAAAAGATGGGAGAAATAGGGAAATAAGTCAATACTTAAGATGAATTAAAATTAATAGATCAATAGTTTATATAAGTTAATAAAAGGCTAAATTACTGTTTTCGTCCATAACTTGTCTGGTTATGAACCATAACTTGATAAGTTATGGCAAATTAATTTCGATAACTAAAAGTTGACCTATATATTTCTTTAAGCTTTTCATATTAGCCTATTTTCTATTATTTCCGTAAAAAGATTGGCAGATGCGGCCCCCGAATATGACCAATTTTCTTGATTAGTAGAGGAAAAAACACAAAAACAAAAAGAAAAACAGTTGTCTTGACCAGAAAGGCAAGCAACCAAGCAAAAATGGACCATTAATGGGGGGACCTCAATTAGTCTCTTAAATACTATCAAGTTCATTTCGCAATAATATTTGTCTATGGGATCAGTGAGTTATCAAATTATGTTAGCAATTGAGATAATATTATTTAGATTTAGATGTTAACATTTGTGTAAACAAAGAAGGACGTCGTTCCAAATTGTGTTCACACTTCACACTATAAACGCTGGAGAATGGATTTTGGCATTTCTCGGCGAATAAAACTCCTGCTCTGATACCATCCTCGTGGGACGCGCATGCTAGGCTTCCACGGTTTATCGGCCCAAGTAGGGTCCGAATCCGAGTCAGAACAAAAGGTTAACAATTTAATTTTTATTTTGAGGAAATTATAAAAGATATGTTATTTTTTAAAAAATATTTTCGATAAGTTCGCAGTAACATCTTTCAAAATACTTATGGTAGACCGTAATGTTTCATTTACTTATTAGCTCAAGTCATGTGGCGTTTGGTTCATGGATTCAAACCATGTGATTAGAACTATTTTTGATTTACGTGTATTTTTTATGAGAAAAAATACTGTAGCGAACCACGAACCATGATTCGAATCAGGGAACGAATCTAGATACCAAACGGATTATGAGTGTATAAATGCGTGCGTGTGTACACTAAAATTTAAACTTTAATTGCTTTATTTTTTTTATGTAAAATTAGATTTATAAATCCCACATTGTATAAAAGAAAAAAATGTTTCATTTGCGAAACAAATTTACAATTAAATTTATGATAGTTTTAAATATTTAAAAATAACAAAATCACGTAGTAATTATTATAATAGTAATTACTTTTTATACTATAAAATTACATATTAATTAGTTTAGGGTCCGAAATATTTGAATAAAAAAGGTTTCGTCAATAGATTTTCTCATAAAATTTAAGTTTAGAATTAAAATCACTTACTTAAATGCGTGAACTAAACGTATCGTTAATGATTTTAAATTTTGTTAGTTGAAGTGGAGTGAGAACTAAACTTTTTTTTTCTTCATTGAGAATAAACCAAAAAAGAGGAGACCAGAGAGATTAGAAAAAATTAAAGATTCTACCCTACATAATTTATTAAAAGTACCTATTTTAAAAAACTCAACCACTTGATTAGTTATAATCCAAAAATAAAAATATATGAACTAAGGTGAAGGGGTAGAAATAAAAGAAAGTTATATCTCAAGGGATATTTTTAAAAATTATCCAAAACATGTGTGCATTTTGTTGGTGGATTCGTGTCCTGATTCGAATCATGGTTCTTAGCTCGTTACTATATCTCAAGGGATATTTTTAAAAATTATCCAAAACATGTGTGCATTTTATTGGTGGATTCGTGTCCTGATTCGAATCATGGTTCTTAGCTCATTATAATATTTTTTCTCATAAAAAATATACGTAACTTAAGAATGATTCTGAATCATGATTATGAATCTATGAACCAAACGTTTATTAAATATCCAAAAATAATTTCATATTTGTTTTTGCTAATCAAATAATTTCATAATTTAGTCCAATGTTAACAAACATTTTTCTTCTCTCCGTGTTGAGTACACGTGTCAAGAAACTAGTGGTGAGTAAGTTCTAGAAGGTCAAGGAAAGTGGCCTAGAAGGTAACGAAATCTAACCTCTCCGCGTCTTTGGGGTTGTCGAGAGAATCTGGATTGCGGGGTTGGCCCGACTATAAAAGCGATTCCAAGCTCAACTTTTTGCCCCTCGATCTCACAATTATATAATTTGGACCGCGAACTTTCGCGAAAGTAAAAAACAAAGAAAGTCCTTCGCTCTCAGGTACGATCTTCTTTTCTTCGTCGATTACGACATAAAGTTATTCGATTAATGTAATTTTGAAACAATTGGACCGCCGATTTTCCTGGATCTTGTCTCGGATTTGTTTGTGTTATTTCAATCTCGAACAGTTCTTAATTTGTCGGAGAGTTTATTTCCCGGAAAATTTAGAGTAGATTGTCAAAAGTCAAAACGATGTTGTTATTTGACGTTTACATTAACATTTTCATAAATTTTGTTTTTAGGGTTTGCTTTGATTTCTATTATAACTTCTTAGTTGATGTGATTTTGACAATGTGGGTTTCGAAATTGCGCGCGCGCGTTGAGTATGTGCGTCAGGTTTCTGGAATGGGCATCAAATACTCATCTGCGTTTTGATAAAGAGATGATTTTGGCGCTTAATTTAGGAAATTTGTTCTTAGAAGTGTGATGGGCATTGGACTTAGATTATAGATTAGGTTTTGTTGGAAAGATGGGATAATTTGGGTCTTTGATGAGTTAACGAACTCTCTCTTGTACATGGGCAATCCTAATTAGTTCTCTAAACGTGACAGTTAGTTGGGGATCTTACGGCATCGAGTGTTTTGGACTACTGATTTTTCTGCATTGGACGTTGGGCGATGGCTGAGGTATGGAATTTTGTATTTCTCTATTTTATTTGGTTGTCGTGATTTCTCTAGAATGCTTTTCCCCCTTGGGGAAGAAACTTTAAGCCTTATGAAGGTTGAACTTAGTGCTTGCAGGAGGGACATAAAGTTACCCTAAACGTGTACGACCTAAGCCAAGGCCTAGCTCGGCAACTCTCCACAACATTTTTGGGGAAAGTCATTGAGGGCATTTGGTGGGTCTTCTTCTTTTTTTTTTGTTTTTTTGTTTTTTTGTTTTTTTGTTTTTTTGTTTTTTTGTTTTTTTGCATTACTTGTTTATAAAAATTTAGGCGCTTGTCCACTAGAATAATAGAATCTTGTGTTAATTTATTTCTTCGCATGCTTAATGGTCGATAATTTTGCACGTTTCAGGCACACAGGAGTCGTGGTTTATGGCAATGAGTATTATTTTGGGGGTGGCATACAGCATTCTCTGGCTGGATCAACCCCATATGGGACGCCAATCCGAGTGGTAGATTTAGGTGTCACTCATGTGCCCAAAGATGTGTTTGAAATGTATTTGCAAGAAATCAGTCCCCGGTACACTGCTGAAACCTATAGTTTACTTACTCACAACTGTAACAACTTTAGCAACGAGGTGGCTCAATTTTTGGTGGGCGCCACAATTCCGGAATATATTCTGCAGCTTCCAAACGAAATTATGAGCAGCCCAATGGGTGCACTAATACGTAAGTTTACTTTCTGTCTTTGTTAGTTATCCTATAACATTTCCAAACGGACTGAAATGTTCTGGTCACGTTTAACATTCATTAATTTTCCAGACAATTGTTTCTGTTGTTTCGGTTGAACCCCTATGTAGTAATGCTTTAAAACAATCCACATCAAATTGTTCTGCTGTCAACTTTGTCTCAAGTAGAATTATCAATCCCCTATCTAGTAATGTTTTAAAACAATCCACATCAAATTGTTCTGCTGTCAACTTTGTCTGAAGTAGAATTATCAATTAGATTTATTGCTTTAAGCCACTTCATTTTTAAAAGTAGATACTGAGGATTCTAACTGTTGACCTGTGGCTGGCTAGTATTGGTGGAGAGCTAATTATTATCATGATATCATGGTTCCAATGCAGTGCCAATGATACAGAATCTGGAAACAACACTGAGGGCTGGTGCTGTCCCACAAGCTCCACAATTTAAGCCTGCTCCTGTGGCCCAGCCTGCTGCTAGTGTTTCAAGATCATCTGGTGGCAAGCCTAAATCATCCACTGAAGATAAGTTGAAATCCGGAGGTCAGTCAAAGGCCTCAGAGAATGTTGAGTCCTCAACTGTCAAATCAGGAGTACAGCGGAGCTCTGCCGGCATCAAGGTGGTTGACCCTCTTGGAGATGCACGAAGCAAGGTGCAAGAGGAGATTACTGCTGAGTTTGCTGCGATCATGGCAACAGGGACACTGCGTGCAAGTGAAGCTGCGGCCCTTGCGACAAAAAGAGTTATGCAGAAACATGGTAATCTGAATTCGGCATTGCCACAAAGCTAAGATCCATGAAAGGACACTCTTGGATGAAGGAACTTTTTGTTTCTAAGAGTGTTTTACTGTTATTTGTCGTTAGCTAAACTTATCATTCATTCATACGCGTTAATTCAATGTGTATGGCTTCGGTAAACCTATAATTTATTCAGCAAAAGGTGTCCCAGTTTCCTGTCCAGTGGACTTAGTTTTTCCGTTTATATTGGGTTGTATATCATTCGAGTCTTGCTGTGGTATTCTTAACGGTGCAACACACAAACAAACTTGTGATGCATGTATTCTTGAACCATGTCAAAATGGTGCAATGCTGTTAAGTAAATTAGTATTGTGACTATCAACAGAGTCCTTTGTCCGCTTTTAATCTATCAACAGGCAACGATATGCTATATGCGCAACTTGCATTCGGCCGGTTGAGTCAGGGATACGTAGATATTGGTCAGAAGGAGTTAAAACTACGAGTTGAGTTATTATTACTTATTAAATTGCAAAATATTAGTATAAATTTGAGTGTGTTTGAATTAAAATAATGAAATCATATATTCAACGATGGCGAGTCACCATGATAGTGACTAACAACATCACTGCTGGCTATATATTGGAGTTGAGGTTCCTTCGGAGTTAAATTCAGGTGAAAGACTTTCAGCTAAATTAAATACATGCTTAAACAACAATAAGTAAGCAACTTGAATATTGTTATTTATTTGGCAGCGTAGGAACTATTGAAGTTTAAATGGTTTTTTATTTTTCAAAAAGAAGTTGAAATAGCTTTGATATGATGGTAAATAATTTCATGTCTGCTAGTTGCAGGCTAAACTTGGTGGTAATTTCACACCTTCATCTACCAACTGAAATTCAAAGAGAAGATAATAATATTAAAATAAATAAATAAAATCGTCTACAGTAAAAAAGGGACCTATTTTTGAATAAATTTAGTTGCAACATGTCTTATTTATTATTTTTTTTCAAAAAAATCTGATATATAAATGTTAATGAGAAGACGGGCATGTGATTCCGCATCAAAACGAACCCGTATTTGTATCAAATTGTTTAGAATAGCGTCACCCGTATGGAAAATGAGATTAATGACAGACTTGGCTCTTGGATTACAGCACTTCGAGGAAAGAAGATTGATGACAAATACGTGAAATAATTATATATAAAAAAAAAAGATTCGCTTCTCTTGATTTCACTTTTTATCTATGACTTGACGCTTTCACAAAGAATAATAATAATATTGAGTGTTAGAACGAATTTTGCGTAAAATAACTATGGTACATTTTTGACACGGACGACCACCTTATGTTCAAATTTGCTAGTCTTGCCAACAAAAACACATCAAGGATCACCTGCATTTGGGTGGTTGTGAGTCGGATTTCGGTCCAGACCAGTTGATACAGAAATTCTGTTCTTTAGTTCTTCAACAGTGGTTTCTTTCGATCTGCTTAATGCATCAGATGGAATGTTTAAGCCGGCAAAGCCAACCATGACAGCCGCAGCTCCAAGATAATCCATAAGATGAGGGGCATGGCCAGTGAGAGAATCAACAACTGCAGCCATTGGGACCTGAATGGTGAGACCAGCTGTTGCGACTGTGGTGGTAGTCAGAATAACCGCCTTCGCCCATAAATAGTCGCTCAACACGTTATCCAACAAACCTAAACATGAACCAAAAAGTCCAAATTTTAGTACAGGTCTATGCTTCACAAACTCGGCGAAAAAAAAATTAAACTGACTAACAACAAAGAAGAGATATATTAGTTATGCCATTGAGTTTTCAGCATCCAGTATTTCATGTTGTTGAAGCAGAGTAGTTTCCAAGTGGCAATAGTATTTGGTATTTAAACTTTGAAGCCCGAACCGGCTATATGGAGTTATTCAGGTAAGTTTCATTCCAACATTGATATATAAAACAACGAGCTAATATAAGGAGTTTGCACAATCGGTCTTATGTGAAAAGAAAAAAATAAAAGCAAAAACAAAAAACAAATAAACAACATAGATGGATGATTCGTTGACAAATTTGTTGCATTGCTCGGTATACCTGATAACAGTTCAGGGGTGTGCTCAATTAAAGTAATGAAATTAGAGATATAAAACAGACTACAGATAATTGTCTCAAGTCTCACTAGAAGACTTTTTGGTAATACTATTTAGCTTTCCCTATTAGTCATTGTATAAATAAGTGGCATTTCACTATAAGATCGTAATTAGTTAAACGTAATAGCAGAGGAAAAGCACATCAACAAAGCTTCCAAATATATGATGCAAGTTCATCCATAGGATTGGAAAAAAAAGCAACCACCATATTCTGTGACTACTAATTTAAAGGAACGGAACTAAATCCAATAACAGATGACAATTGACAGAAAATTATAGAAGTAAAATATATACCTTTACCGATGATTAGACCAACCTGCGGCCAAGTAAGCACATCAAAGGGCTCCAGCTTGGTGAAGTGGAGTATAAGGGCAACTGGGAAGAAAAGAATAAGGTTGAATAGTCCTAGAAATCCCAGGAACTGAGCCATACTGGGAGAACCACTTCTTTCATCGTCATCCGGTAATTTCTTGCGGATGAGGGTAATATACACAGCATATAACGCAGCAGAGACAAGAGCAAAAATGTCTCCAAGAAGAGGGTTTGAAGCAATAGCACTCAAACCACTTTGTGAGTCACCGAGGCTGACAAATATTGTTCCTCCCATGCAAAGAAGAACGCTAAAAAGCTTCAACCATGTAAACTTTTCGCCCAAAAATGCAAGCGAGACCAAAAACGTGAAAAGGCTTGATGCACTGCTTAAGATGGTGTTGGACTGCACGTCACAAGAAGGTAATTCTTATTAGAAATCCAATCACAAGACATGCACAGATAGACAAGCAACACAAAATCAAAAGATCTTACCGTGACTTTTGTGTACTTCAATGACAAGTTAAAAGTGAGTTGTGCCAAAAACCAAAAGGGGCTGATCAACAGGCTAACTCTCGCTACTCTCATGCGCGTCCAACGCCCTTTTGAATCCACTTCTCTAGATCCAACTTCGTTGACATTATCTTGTGTAGGCAAAGGCCTTTCGAGCTCTTCGGAGACATCTATTCTCTCGGGATCAATATCTTCTCCATGATCACTAACTTCTACTTCTATAGGCAGAGAATCTTCGGTTTTTGCATAACCGTCATCACTCTCTCCAAGAAGAATCGCCTTCTCCGACTGACCTAATTCTTGCAAAGAACTACTCTTGTCACTTCTCCAAAAGAATAAACCCCCATAATTATCCTCCAAATAGCGTCCGATTTCTACTAGGGGAATGTAAATGACAAACAATGAATTGCATATGTACGTGATGAGGAAAGGCGATACGCCGGCATCAACAACGGATTGTACCACAAAACTGGCAGCTATCCAGATAGCCGCAACAGCAACTATATATGTCAAACCCAAACCCCATCTCCATAATTTACTGTTCATTTCTTTCCAAGCCAATTTAGAATCCAAACTTGCCCAGAAAAACTTGCTCAGATATATCTACAAGACTCCAAATTAGGAAATTCTAGAGAAGAATGCGAATGCTCATGTAACAATTCAGCCCAAATCTACAAGGGGATGAAAAGATAATTTTTAAAAATAAAAGAGGGCAAAATCAATGAGAATGGTGGTTGCCCAGAATCCAAAATCTTTGAAGATAGAAGAACCCCTAATAACGAAAAGATATCAGTGCGATGGAAGATTTAATCATATGAAGTTCGAGATAATCTGGGAGGAAACGAGGAAAACGCAGCCAAAGTTTAAGAATGGAAACAAATAGACATACACATAAATTATTGGATGTGTGTGTGTCTATATATATATATAGCACATGCGTAACACGTACGTACCTGGGTAGCCGAAATCTAGTAGCATTCGGAGGCTTGTTTTGATACAAAGTTCCAAATCTAGTAAGATTCGGAGGCTTGTGTTGACACAAAGTTCCTCACTACCCAGAAACACGGAATTTCGTAAGCCGGAATTACTTCTCTTTCGTCGTGGGTTTATATATATATATATATATATCGCGGTTTAGAGTCGTTGATCGTTGAATGGAGTTACGCGGAATGGGGGAGGACGAGGGAAATAATAAATTTTCGAAGGGGGTAAAAATTAATAGAACAAATTACATTATATAAACTATTTATGCCTCTTGAATTTGTATAGTTTGAAATTTACCCTGGATTTTTAATTGTCACAATTTGTTTCTCCAACTTTCAAAATTATTGTAATATGTTCTATTTTACAAGTTTTGATCTGTTTTTTTTTTTTTTTTTTAATTTAAAGAAATGAGAGTTAAAATTTGAGAACTTTGTACTATACTTTAAATTTAGATGTTGGAATTTTTTGAAATGTGCTAATTCGTCTTAAATTTTAACAACTATTGTCAAAATAAGGCTGTAACAATTTTATAAGTTAGAGGATAAATTATCTAAATTAGAATTTAGGGCCAAATTGGCCAAAACTCTACAAATTCAGGGTGCAATGTGCAAAAATACCTAGCTAATAAATATTTGACACAAAAATAATCATAAATCTGCGCACCGTCCATGTAGGTTTTTCTATTCTCCAAAACTATTCCGTGGACGAAGCTATTTCTTCTTATATGTTTCAAATAAATGCCATTTACTGTGATTCTTACTTTTTTTTTCCCCTTCAGTAGAGTACAAATCTGTTATTATTATAATTAATTTCAAACACTGTCATTATTATAGTTATTTCCAAAAGGCTACTATTTACTAATTCAACAAAATTACTACAATTTTTTGATCTATTTTTTTTTAATTTATTTTTTACTTATAATTTTGCAAGTTCTGGTTTTACTCTAAGGGATTCGGAACCTGAAAAAGAAAAAGAAAAACATCCTTAATTTCAAGTAATTATAAAAATTGAGGCAAATATAAATCGATGAGGATGACATTATTCATGTGGTTAACGATAGTGTGCTTAAACTTAAGCGCAGCAACCACTCAAGTGTTCTTCAACCGGAAATTTTGTAGCAGAAAATAGCAAATTTTAGATGTCAACAGCGATAGTCTGCTTAAACCAGAGATGAATGTTGCACCAACAAAAACCAACATCAAGTCTAGGCTTAACAAAACTCAATTTTCCTATTAATGAGGTTTTATAGGAATCTTCGAGAAAATAATACAAGAGAAGTCAATATAAAAACAGATTTGGAACTTTGCTCATCTGCTTTATCCCAAACTTTCTATGTTGTGTGTGTATAATATTATCTTTCTTAGCCAATGACACAATTCTTGAAGAACTTGCCCATGAACTCCTCTTGGATAAAACTTTTTACGACGTATATGCAAGTGATTATAGCAAGAACTGGTTTTGTGACAAATAATAATACTAACCCTTCATTAGTAGTTGATACTAGCTTAAAGAAATCATTAGCCCGTAAAAAGAGCTTAAAAAAAATTATCCACATATAACTCAAACGGTATCGATACCAAACAACTTTACGACACAGACGTATGTGAATATATGTATAGATATGAATGCAAACAAGTTTCATTTATAAGGAAGAAGCACTTCCAAATCGTGCTTTGGAGTTGTGCCTTGAAGTGGAGCCCCATTCTATGGCTTCCGCCACCGCTCTTTGGCGTTCACGTAACGTGTTTTCTTCTTCCTGAGATCTGCCATGTTTTGCACCACCCACATTCTTATCTGATCTCGGAGAAGAAGAAGAAGAAATACGAGGTGTGGTGCAGGTGTCGGTGTCGGTGTCGGGACCGCTCCCGAGGAAGCTGAGGGCAGTGACAACATCGCTGATGAGCGGGCGAACGGAGGGTTCCTCATTGAGGCACATGGCTGCAACTGCAACCGCTTGATGCAGCCCTCTTATTGGGAAATCTCCTTGGAGAAGTGGATCTGCTAATTGTGGATACTTTTTAGGGTCTTTGAATGCAGGGTTTGCCTAATAAAAGTACAAGTCATAAAGTCAGCAAATGATACTAGGAACCCGGCAAACCGACCAACTTGACCAACTCCGAACAAAACTGTAGAAACCACTTGCGGTGTCAAGCATGTTATATAGAAAAATACTTGATCCACTTGCGGGACTCATTTTCTGTTAGTGTGTGGTTCTCAACACCATCAATTTCTTATGGCATTATATAGTACACAATACTTAATATTTTACTTTGAAGCAAAAGGTGTTTGTTAATTTAGAGATGTTGCAAACATCATTTAGATGGGCAGCATTTTTTTGACTCGATTTGGTTGATTTATGTGTTGGATTTTCAAAGACAAACAATAAAGACAAAAAAAAAAAAAAAAAAGAACAACTTGGAAATAGAATTTACCCAACAAACTAGATTATGCTCTGTGGTTGGTTTAGTGGTGTCAATGGCTCTCCTTCCAGTGATGAGCTCCAACAAAACGACTCCAAAACTGTACACATCTGACTTAACCGTGAGTTGCCCTGTTCTTTGATACTCTGGGGCACAATATCCATAAGTCCCCATCACTCTTGAAGATACATGTGTCTTGTCTCCCACAGGCCCAAGCTTTGCTAGGCCAAAATCCGAGAGTTTAGCATTGAAATTCTTGTCCAACAAAATGTTAGACGATTTTAAGTCACGGTAGATTACTGGGGGATTGGCCTTGTCATGCAAATACTCTAGACCCTTGGCTGCCCCTAAAGCTATTCTCATTCTTTTGTACCAATCTAATGGTCTTTGTCCTGGTGCAAAATCTGAAACTCAAATAGTACAATGTGTCACAAATCTATACAGCAAGAAAAGTTTGTGTATGATTGATTAAAAGAGTTTTAAGGAAGAGAAAAATTGTACCTAGTAAATGGTCTTCCAGAGACCCCAGTGGCATGTACTCATAAACCAAAAGTCTCTGATCCCCATCAGCACAATACCCAATAAGGTTTACTAAATTTTGGTGGTGTAAGAGGCTCAACATCAGTACCTCAACAAGAAACTCTCTGTTTCCTTGCAATCCATTCCTGTCTAGCTGCTTCACTGCTACAACCTGGACTAGTTTAAGTATGCCCTTATTTCACTACCTAATCAATACTTAAAAAAGCCTTTCAACAAAACTGGTAGAAAGCTAATGCTATTAGAGTCTGAGACAAAGTGCCATTATTATTATTTTTTTTTACCTGCGCAGTTTTCTCTAGTCTCCCCTTGTATACTCTTCCGAATCCGCCCTCTCCAACCAAACACTCATGGCGGAAATTCCTCGTCGCCGTCGCCAATTCGCGGAAGCTGAATGTTTGTGCAGCTATGTTGTTGTTCCCAGCTGCTTCCTTATTGGTAGCTTTGTTTCGAAACAAACAAACAAACAACAAAAGAATCATTAAAAAATTTAATTTAAACGGGACTCGACGCGTGTGATTCCCTTATAAACTTTTTTCTTAATTACAGTGAAATTCTGCGACGGCTAAAACCTGACGTCATTCACATATATTTAAGGTGCACCGCTGTAGATCTCATATCATTTAAGAAAACAATTTTTTAGATTTAAGCAATGTGAGTGAACTTACCTGGATAATGATGATGGTGGTGGTTGTGGTGGTGTTGTGGTGCAATGTTGGCTTCTTTCCGAAGAACAGAGCCGAGCGTCTGTCCTGATCTCCTCCCACTGCGTGATCTTTTAACTGATCTCTTTTGGTTGGAAGATTGAAAACACGAAAAGCAGCTCATTTCTTGTATGTTTTCGTGTCACTCTTGAAAAATCTTATAAAATATTTACAACGTGTCCTTCAAATCTTTGGAGTTTGCCACGCTTTTTGTGAGAGCCAAAAGATGGGCATTCATCAAACGAATATGGAGTTGTGATCAAATAAATCCGTATCGAAAAATTTTGATGAAAGAATAAATTATGCAAAAGTGAAAATGGTTGATTTCGTTTCATAAAAAACCAGACTGGATTTTGTTGAAAAAAGCCAAGCAATAATGGCTCAAGAGTTAAGGCCATTAAGGCAAAGGCTCTCCTTAAGTCAAGGTTCTTTTGTTAGAAACCCTCAACTAATTACCTTTACACCTCAAAATATTGAACATTTTAGTTAGTTTTCTTTTTCTAAAAAAAAAAAAAAAAAATCTATTAGTTGCGTTTTAGTTTAATTCCGTGAAACTATAAAACAAAAACTAGTTTTAAAAGATGCTTAATCTCAATATTAATTTCTTTTTCTTTTAAAATTGACTATTTATTTATTTATTTATTTTAATTTAAGATCATCTCCGTGACTGAGAGACTTGCACATCATTACTATGATATATCCAAATAGAAAAGGTTGAAATGAAAGTGAAAGAAAGAAAGAAAAGCATCAGACCTCATTACAATTTTGTTGGGTAAATTGGTTTTACCTTGGCATTATAAGAAAGCTAATTTGGTATGCAATATACTTTAAATGATTATATATCCCAAAAGCAATTCCCTTCACGGGTCACGCATAGAGATAATGAATATTTAAGAAAAAAAAGTGCACGAGTCTAGATTTTTACCCATTAATCTCGGTTGATATTTTTTTAGTTAAATAACTATATTAGTTAATCAAGAGTACAGAGCAAAAATGCACTCTTAAGAGTAAATTTAATAATTTTCTCAATATATTTTAATCATAGTTGTAGGAGATTTTTAATTTAATTGAAAGAATCCATTTCTTTCATTGATTAGTTAAGTAGTTATATCTAGTTACAATCCATTAATTTTTTGGCTACTTAACGTGATTGCGTAGGTAAGTGTGTGCGTGTGTTTATCAGAATTCAAATTCTATAATAAAGTGACATTTATAGGCCTCACATGATATTAATTTTGCGCAAACAGTCGATTAACGAAGACAAATTCACTAGGAAATATTGGCTATTGTTTTACATGGGTGAACATACCATAATCCAACAAGGCAACAACGTTAGATCAATATGGATCTTACACACACATATAAAGCACATAACAATATTATAGTTTCCCAACTTGTTCAATTAAGGAAACACACGACCAATTATTAATCAATACTACTACAAATATTACAAGAGTTTAATTAAGAAGCGTTGACTGAGATCTTGACACCGCCATCGCAGTGGCCAGGGATGCTGCAGATGAAGTAGTTTTGTCCCTTTGACAATTTCACTTGGTCTTTCCCACTACTATATGTCTGAGCACCAGAAGACGACGTGCAACTTTTATACCCTTTTGCATCCACCACCACCACGTCATGGAGCGACGTGTCGTAGTTGAAAACTGTTACCCAAAAAAAAAAAAAAAAGGTGAGCACATCAACAAAAAATTGTTCGAGAGTTCAAATTTGTCGTCAGTTTCAGTGCCTAAGATCATTTGATCTAGTCACATCTGGAGTTTAGATGAGGTGGGATTTTGAAACGAGGTTATACTAGTGAGTTCGATCTCGCCTTGTATAACAAGTTATTTTTGGTAATTATAATTTGAGAACTTAATGGACGTTTGGTTCATAGATTTAGAATCATTTTCAATTTACGTGTGTTTTTTATGAGAGAAAACACTGTAACGACCCACAAATTATGGTACGAATTCTCATACCAAACACTATTAAATACTAAAAAAAATAAAGTATTAAATGAGACGTCAATAAAGCAGGAAAATAGGACTGCGGATTTGAGCTCATTGTTCGATAGGTCAGGCATGTAAAAAACAGCGCAATGAACTAGACGGACCAAGACATAGTTATTATTAGGTTATAGTAGTAGTATTACCAAGTATATCGCCTGCTTTGAACTTCTTCCCATTTGTCCAACTCTCAACGTTAAAAGTCCAGCCAGAGCTATCACCAACCATTTGAGTGGTGGCTTTGGCAGTCACGAATATTGGAAGAAATAGAGACAAACGTAGAATGGTGGCAAGTATCGCTATGTGGCTTGCACTGCATCTTCCCTGGTGGTGAGCCATTGTTGTTGAAGGACAGTGATTCAAGAATAATAATATGGAGTGTTATGAATAGATATGTGTGTGTGTGTGTGTATATATATACATACACCATGTTGTTTATATTTAGTCTCCTCCTTTAAAACAAAAAAAAAAAAATTAAACCCTTTCACTTTTATGGTTGTCTTGCTTTTGGAATTAAGGTTGGCTCACTTTTATGGTGGTTGATGGAATTACCAAAAATGTCAAAAGTAGACTGGTTGTTGTGTGATTTAATTAATGCTGGTACAAACTTGTCTAGTTTCTTGGGGTTGTCATAATGAACTGCTTAATCAATCAAAGGCAAGAGGCCAAAAAAAAAAAAAAAAAAAAAGGTAACCGAGAAAAGGACTATATTGTTAGTTTACAAGACTCCATTTTGTAAAGTAGTTGGCGAGCCAGTGGATTGAGAAGTTGCAAGGCACTAGATGATAAATATTGCTTGTATTCTTTTTTTTTTTTCAATTTAGGATCGTCTCCGTGACTGAAAGACTTGCGGATCATTATTATCCAAATAGAAAAGCAGCAATCGGCGATGAGACCCCATTACAAATTTGGGTGAAGTTGGTTTTACTTTTTGGCTTCATGGGACACCTAATTAGGTATGCAATATACTTTAAATGATAATGTATCCCAAAGGTGATTCCCTTTCACGGGTTGCACATAGGGACAATGAGCCTTTAATCATTAGTTGCAGGAGAACCCATTTCCTTCATTGACTGTAAAGACAAGCATGAACTAGATATATTAAAAGCTCAATTGTTTTACGATTCAATTCACAACTCAAATTTTTTATTACAGTATTTTCTCTTATAAAAATTCTAATTTTATTTTTATATTATAAAATATTTTTCTCTTATAAAAATTCTAATTTTATTTTTATATTATAAAATATTTTTCTCAGATAAACTGGATTCGTCCCTTAAAAAAAAGAAGCTTCATTTTTCAACTTAAATTCGTAATTCAAACTTGCGAAATAAACGGATCCTTAATTTCTGAGAGATTTGGAGTTGTTCTCTCTTCATAGATTGCAACAGGACACGGCCTAAATTTCGTAAGACAACATTTAAAACTTCAGTATGAGAGATGTAGAAGAACAAACTTCAACCGGCCTTAATATTTCTATTTAAAATAGAAAACTTTTCTTATTCCTTCAGTTAAAAAAAAAAAATTGTAGCAGTCTTTACATTTGTCTGCCATGTATACCTTTTCAATTGAAAATAATCAATATAGTTACCAACATGATTGATACAACATTACAGCACAAATAAATCATAGAATTATCACAAAATAGGCATTACGAATTAAAGGGATACATTAACCTCAATGGAGGATTCTGTTAAGATGGAATCTCTAGAGTTATCATCTTTTGGGTGATCAAAACTATCCACTTTCATCCTCACATGAAGAGGTCTCATGAAAATAAGATCTCTCAAATCCCTATTTGCTTTTAACAAGAACTTAATGCACGACTCTCTTTCAACCTTTCCACTTCTCCCTGAGTTCAATATATCAACTATCCTTGCTGCATATTTCTCTTGATTCTCCTCCAATTGGTCAAGGTCTCTTCGTAGTTTTAAGTACAGTACTGCATTGATAATAACCTGCATGACAACAAAAGCAGAGATGTTAGCACCATAGATGACATCCCGGGATCACGTAGAAGCAAACAAAAACGAACCCATTACCTCACTATTTCCAGGACTCGTGTTGACAGCAGTAGTAATATGAACTTTCTCATCTTGAAATATTGTGTCTGAAGTTATATCCTCGTCTTCCTCGGTCAATTCCGGTTCAGGAGTTGTAAAGGCAAGATTATCCAGCTCATCATACCATTTTTGGGCAGAACCAACCTGTGTGCACCAAGGGCTCCTTATGCTACTTAACAAATAATATCAGGAAAAACTTAAAAAGGGTCTCTCTCTCTCTCTCTCTCTCTCTCTCACACACACACACACACACACACACACACGCGCGCAACGCAGAAAATGGAAACCTTGTCTGGGGATCCTGCTAAATCCTTTACTTCTGACACTATAGCAGCAACACCTCGTGCCTGACACCATATAGAGCCTTCTTGTAACTGTTCTACTAATTGAGTATCCACAGGGATGTTTACGTTTAGCTGTATGCTAATTTTACCTGTCACACGTATACAATAATATCCAAGATCACATAAGCTTCAAATTGAGACTTTGCTGCCAGATAATATTTCTAGACAAGAAGCAAAGCGGAAAAGCAGTAAGGAACTTGCAGATGATTGCTCAACTACACAATAGACGAGTGATGAACAAGGGATTCCTTAAATCCTTTTTCATCATGATAAGAGCAGGCACTCTCAACAGGACCCCCATGAAAAGATGATAAGATTATTCTTATGTGAAAATGTTGTTAGAGAACGAAGTTCGGTATTATGAACAGACCAGTAAATATGGTAAGGCGGTAAGACACTTCCAGTTGGAAATATAAAAATATAAAAAAATAAAGGGAGAATTAACACCTGGCAGCAAACTGAAACACTGAAGATGATCAATCTGTGGTCCCTGAAGCCCATCAGTACTGTAAAATCAGCAAAAAATTGGATAAGTTAATACGGTACAAAGTGAAACAAATTCAAAGACTGTTTTAATCCAGCCATAAAAAGAAAAGCACAGCATCTGTGACTCATAAGGAAAAGAGTAACAATATTGGCCTCCATAAAACATAGAAACCATTAGGATATGAATTTTCACTTTGGGAGTTTGAATAAAGTAAACATAATTACCCAGTATATGCTCTCTCCAAATGTGGTGACAACCAATAAGGCAACCCAAGGATTCCAAATTTCGAAAATTGCAAGTTCGAACAGACTTTAGACTCCCCACTTAGTTTCAAAACTCTCTGTCCAACTTCAAAAACATTTAAAATGAGATAACAACAGGACATAAACATCATACAACCAATTTATTAAGAGTCAAAAAGAATAAATGCACCACAAGACAGTACCCATGTCACAAATAATCAGATGGTCATTAAAGGTTGTCAACGAAGATATGAGACCAGCATTTGGAAGCTCATCTGGTGAACAAGCAGCATTAGCTTGCTGTTGCAACCAATCATATGGCATTTGTTTCAAGAGGCCTACTTTCTCCAAGATATGCTCTCCATAGGTCTCCAAAATTTTTGATAAACCTTCAATAGTTAATTTAGCATTAGACTATTTCATTAAAACTCGTGTTAAATAAAACAAAGGCGGCGGCAGCAACAAAATAAATTTCAAACCTTCGACAACTTCCTCTATCTCCCCTATGGCCAAATTTATAATCCATAAAGTTTGAAAGCTGAAAAGACATACCAGATAAATATTAAAAAAAGGCCTATTTAATGGAACCATTTAAAGAGGTACTAGATAATCGTCCTTGAGATAAAGATTTTTGACCAGCGTTGTCACAAAATAACATTTTAAGAGAGCCTTCACAGAAAAACAATATTCCAATTTTTGGTTTGAGATTACTGAAAATAGTGAAGTATTAGCTTTTCTCTTCCTAAGAACTTTCAACGAAATTATCTACATTGGTGTTGTGTTCCTACAAAACTGCAGTATTGCACAACAAGGAATGTACTGGTTTAACCAGAAAACTAGTAAAGTATTTGATCTTGTTTTCCTAGAACTTTTAACATATAATATAACAAGGAATTTCCCTGTTTAACCAGATGAATTATTTTTCCTTTTCTGATATAGAAGAATTGGATTTTTTTTTTTTTGGCAGAAAGAAGAATTGAATAATTTACCTTCGATTTATAACTAACAAATTGTCGCCGGCTGATTTTATCAGATGCCAAGGGAACATAAGTGATTGAATATCAAATTCTTCAGGCTTGGTATCAACATTGCTTCTCAAACCCAGCTTTTCCATGATCCACGTCCAAAAACTCTTCTTACCAGTGTTGCATGCTGGACAGAAAGTCTCTAGCACCCGCCTTCCCATATCAGCTCTCCTGATAGCATGATTCTTAGTTGATAGAGATCCCACAAGAAAAAAGGTAAGTGATAGAGTAATTTAAGGTATGACATTAAGTAATTCATGTTATATTAAGTATAAAATTAGTGCAGTAGTCCAAGTTAACAAACACCTCTGAATCAACGAAATACAAGCAATTCTCATCTTCATGATAAAATGAAGCTGCCGGGCACATCAATTTGGCAGATTCAAATTCACCATCCTCAAAACCGGGGGATGAACCAATCTGCAGACCAACAGTACAGGTATTGATCTAAGTCTTCACTGATTCTTTCGTTACTTACACGGTAAAGAACACAAGATATACTTGAACATTACTAAATGCCAAATTGTAGTATGCATGAATGCATTAGAAACAATATTCATACGTACACAGTCCAGAATCTTTCCATTGCCATTGGATACAATGATGCGGTGATGATTGCTGTCAGAAATGAATAGACGATCCCCACTTTCATCAGCAGAAATGCATCCTGAAACAAAGTACTTGCACTACAGTTTCACAACGTTTTGGATGAATGCAGATTGCAGACATTGTGTCATCATGAAGCAGTGATGCACAGGAAGGCTATACCTGGGAAGTAAAAAAGTAAGTTCCGCATAGAACATAAATTTGGTTTCTTGATGATCTCATCTCGCTTTGGACTAATAGTGAACAAGTTATTAGGTGACCTAGCATTTCCATTGTGCTCCCTTTGTAATTCCTCAACAGCTGCATGAGGGCAACAATTAGAAAACAACATTAAAGATGGTATGCTCATATAATTGTACATTCATACATGTATTCTGACAATAAAATAAATTCAGGTCCAGTATTAAATCATTGATACAAAAGCAATAAAACTAACCATTTCAAACAAAACTGTAATTAACTACATAATATGCATACAGTATACCTTTCTCAATAACTTCAAAATTTAGATCCTTCTCACGAAAAAATACTGGCTTCCTAAAATTTTTAAATAAAATGGAGCACGCCCCGTTTGCCACCTGTAGACAGAAACAGAAATTAAAAACAACTACATAATACTGGGAAATCTGTTATTAACGGAGAGCAGCAAGATGATTAAATGGAGCACGCCCCGTTTGCCACCTGTAGACAGAAACAGAAATTAAAAACAACTATATAATACTGGGAAATCTGTTATTAACGGAGAGCAGCAAGATGATAATTCATGTGGTAATTTTGGTGGAAAGAAAAAAATTTGATGCTACTTTTTTAACAAGCATAAACGACAATAAAGAAACATAAGGAAAATTAAAATAATATGAAGCACCTGAGTCTTGTTTCACCAAATACCAAATAACAATCTGTTTCATTTTTCTTAATCCTTTTCTTTACTGATGATCAAGAAATAAACTACTATAAGGACAAAAAAATAACACCTCAATAGCTTAGCAACTGCCGTTTCACAAATATGGACACAGAGCAAGTAATATTCAATATCCAATGAGAAACAAAATCTCACCTCGGAAAAGTTCTTGTTAGATAACAAAATGGGAAATGTAATATTTTCTTTCATTATCAATTGGATTAAGTTACTTCTGTCAGCAGCAGAACAAGCAGAACCTCCAGACTGAAAACCCATGATATGGAGCTGAGGAAATCTGCAAAAGCATATCCATAGGAACAATGAGAAAGAGGGGGTACAACACTTTAACAGAAATCTTTAAAAAACTAATTAAAAAAGGTACCTTTGCTGAAGTAACTTTATTTTTTCAATCAAAATGACAGTTTCTAAGCCATTCGATAAAGAACTTCCCAAGAAATGACCAGAGAGAACCAAGAAGATCCCATCCTTTTTAAACAAATTTTTGGTCCCTTCAAATTTGTTGAACCAACAATGATAAGGACCTGCATAATGCATGTGAACCCAAATTGATTAAGAAGTTACAGACAAAAGTTGGAATCATAAGTCCATGAAATCATTCTTAAAAACAGGTGTCAGTTCTATACTCAAAATGAGTATACGAAAATACATACAAGTGGAAACAAAATACAAGTATATCCATTAAATTCTTACCCTCTTGCTTGTTCTCTTGTTCTCTATTTTGCTTCTTTTTTTTTTCAATTTAATACAATTTTTCTTTTGCTTACTTTTATACACACACACACACACACACACACACACATATATATAAACAATATGCCAGAGAAACTGAAGTACGAAATGATTTAAATACCTTCAGGTTGATCTAAAATGGATTTAATGAAGGAACAAATATCAAATTCAATGGCAGACTTTATTGATAATTTTGATGCAGATGAGAACCTGAAAAAGACTGTCGTTTATAAGTTAGGAAACACAGTGAAAATCACTCCCTGCATTTTTGTTTCCAAACGCAAAAAAGCAACATGGGAATCTGAATTTAGAGGAAAAACAGAAACGAAGGATAGAGAAATTGGATTATAATTACCGTTGAGAACGAAATTCAGTCGGTAAAATAGTTCTGTTTATTCTGTCCCGTGCATTCGAGCGAGGAACTCTAGATAAAGTCCGTAAACTAATAGCTGGTCTACAGTTTTCGTAATCTTCAGCTGATAATGAATCATTTGAAGAGATATTATAAGTTTCATAACCAGGAATCATTGAAGAGAGAGAAAGAAAAAAAGATTGAAACTAGGGAATTTCCGATGGTGAAGGACATACCTGAAAGACGTCGGGTCAAAACCCTAGAAGTCTCCCTCAGCCGCCGAAATCTGGAGGCCATTTTTCTCGAGAAAATTATTCTGAGAGAAAATGCAATTCTTCTTTGAACGTGCGTCTTCAGATCAGTTCTGAGATTTTACTTCCCGGCGTCGAACTGACGAGGGAGTTGTCGCGGGGTTTGGTTGATGGACTCGGGGTTTAGGGTTTTACAATTCTGGGCCTGAGGGAGCCCAGGTCTTTATTACTGGGCTTTTGAATGTGATCCATTATTAATTGTGGATGGGAATGAAAATATGCAAGATTACTACGTAAATGTTTAAAGACCCGATGAGTAATTGTGTAGATAAATTAATTACAAAGTTCAATATGTGAATATTTGATAAGGAGCCTGAAATATATTAAAGACTCAATACGTGATAATAATTTAAATAGAGATAAAGAGTAATTACGAGAGTTTGAACTCAAGACTTCTCGCTCTGATATCATATTAATTTACCAATTCATCCCAAAAGCTTAAACTATTAAAAGGTGAGCCAACAATAGTTTTATACTTAAAAAAATGGAGAATTTACCCTTGAGAGTGCATGTGTATGGACGTTTAACCCTTACTCTTGATAAATACCATTTTTAGTGTAATTATTTGACTAAAAAGGTTATGAATCAAGAGTAAAGAGTAAAAATCATAACTTATGCACTTTCAAGAAGTATTTGTCAAGATTACTTTTTATAATTTAACAATGAATCAATAATAAATGGTAAAAATCTTGACTCATGCACTTTTAAAGAGTATTTGTCAAGATTATCTAAGATTTTTTTCCACATAAATTTTCTTTTTACAACTGATAAAAATAATTTTCCACATAAATAAATTTTTTTACTACGTAAATAATTTTTATCAGTAATGAGTAAAATATTCATACGATTTTGCTATTTTTTAAATATTTTTTAAATCTATTATTTACTTAAATTAGTTTCAAAAATATGCTATTTACAATCTAAATGTTTATCTCCAGGTGCCTGTCCTAACACATTCATCCGTATTCTGATTTTTTTTTTCTGTTGATACCACGAATTAGTGGACTAGGGGTAGTGTTGATTTCTGGAATTAATCTTGTAGCTTTCTGGTGCTAATCTACCAAATTACTTTAACGACTAATGATATTTGCTGAAAAAGCCAACATAATCGGGTAGATTACCTGTGAAAATATAGTATATTACTTTGGTAATTGGTCGTCGGTGGAAGTTAGAGGTCACTGTTAATTACCACGACAAGATATGGTAGATAATAGGAGATTACTCTGACATCAGCGGCCAACAGGGACAATTTCAGCCAACACCGGTATAGAAGGGCAGAATTCCGACCCTCTTATTGGAGAGAACGTGAGGGTGAGGATTATGACCAGAAGTGCCCTAAAACAAAGAATACACTTCAAGTTGTATCTTACTAACCCACTAGGTGAGCGAGCTAAGAACTTTAGGGAATAATTATCAACATATATCATAAAAAAATTCTAGGGGTGACAATTTGGTTATGACACGAAAATACGATTCAAAATCTACATGAAAAATTAACACGATAAATAAATAAGTTGGGATATGGTTGACCTTCTGACATGAAGTGATTTAAATTGACACAATTAACTATATTTGTCATTCATAATTTAATTAAATATTATAAAAGTCTATGTAATGTATTAAATAGAAATAACATGAATTTTAAAATGTTTAGATAAATTTTACATATTATTCTTAAAACAAAGAAAAATTGATCCATAAAATTATTAAACATGTTATAATTGTGTAAACTAAATTCTAATTGTATCAATTATTTATTCAATATACTAATTTAAATAAGTTACGTGGGTTGACACGATTAATAAACATGTCGTATTTTAATTATACTTTTAACACATTTAAAAAATAGGTCACGTTTAGATTGCTGTTTTTTGACACGATTAATAAACGAGTTATACACAAATACGATCTATTAACACGAATTGCCATGATCCCTACCAATCCCATTTCTTAGTTTTTGTTCATCGAAATTTTTGCCCTGAATTTTTCTCGAAACGATGTACGTGCCTTGTATTGTTTGCAGCGCAAAGTTACTAATCGCTCCCAAGGGAAGCACACTGAGACCGAAGCACTAGGTGCTTTTAAAGCAATAATCCATGTAACGACCATCATTGTGTTCTTGTTTTGTTCGCCGTCAGCAAAAGGAAAAACCATCATTGTATTTCATAATTTGCATATCAAAGAATTTAGTACGGTTGCCACTTTATTGATTTCTTCTTCCTTTTTTTAGTCCCCTGTTTAATTTAAAAGTGGGTTTTCACTTTGTTGATTAGACAAGGACAACTGGACTAAATGCCGTAAATTTTGATGGAACGTGAACGGACGAATTGATGAATTATATACAATCATCCACTTTGAGGAAAGAATTGTCCCAAATTGCTTATCAAAAAAATAAAATAAAAAAAAGTCTCAAATTATCCGTGCTCTTTTTGCTACTAATTTTCTTTGCTATATCAGGCTTAGCTAGTCTTTGGTGTTTTGCAATTTACTATTTTTTTTAGTCTATAGTTTAGGAAATGATCATAAAGAGAAAGCTGAGGTCATGCTTATTTTATACACACACATAATTATTCTGTTTGTGTTTTGTTTTTCTTTCTGTTATATACTTGTGCATTTCAAGTAAGACATGTTTTCCCCCCCTCTCTCACAATAAATGAAAGTGGTATTGGTATTTGATCTTCTTTTTTTTTTCCCCTTTGCTTTTTCAGAATAAGGACTTAAAATTATTCCCCAGAAAAGATAAAGGAATAAGTTCTCATGCCGACAGGAAAAGAGTTGTTTGTAGCTCATGAAATTCAAACGCTAATGCGTGTTCTATTTACATATTTATAGATATGCCAATTATATATATATATATATATATATATGACATACATGGCTTGTAAAATGAGAACAAAAGAAATGGTTAATTTCATGATCGGTCTCCTAAATATGGATGAATTCGTGCTATGGCCTTAGCTTTATAAAGCACAAATTAAAAAGTGTCCAAATTAAACTTGTGAATTGAATTGTTAAAAAAAAAAACTCCACATATATGCCACCTTTTTTTCAATATTTTCGTAAAAAATCCATCAATAGACATATGATTGGTTGGTGCAGATTATTCAACAACAGGAAAATGATACTGTTATAATTATCAAATCATGGGGTCATGACTTTTTGCAGCTGTTAGGGTTGGTATCAGCTTTCTCGGATTATGTGTTTGAGACGACAAAAGCAAAGTCCAAAGCAAAGGGTGTTGAATTGTGAGATGATCAAATTATTTTCTCAGCAGGCAATACAAAATCCCTTTTCCATTCTCTCTCTCCTCTCTCCTCTCTCCTCTCTCACTGTGTCTCAGAGCTGACACCACTGCTTCTCCTGTGCCTCAGATTCCGTTTTAATCTGCCCACAACTCACCCTTTGCCCTAATTTTTGCTTTCCCTGACTTTCAAGTTTTTTTCTGCACTCACTCATCATCTCATTCTCATCCATGGAATATTGTAATACAATCCCATGCAAAAACCACTCATGACATGCTAGCCAGATCTTATTTCTTATTCTTCTTATTCTTCTTATTCTTCTTCTTCTTCGTTTTTATTTTTATTTTTTATTTTTTATTTTTTTTATCTTGCTCCAATTTTCATCTTCTTTTTGAGCAATGCTTTCAAATTTTTTTTTCCTTATACCTAGTTAAATTTTACTTCTAACTAACAAATAGCTGGGAATTGATTCTAAAATATTTCTTTAATCAAATTCAAATATATATTGACCTCTAAATATATATAGTTATAGCCCCACTATCAATTGTCAAAATTTCCCAGCTGCAAACAGTACTGAATTAATTAAGCAAAGCCTAAAAGAATGACTCCTGTCGTGTGTGCGTGTGTGCATATATAGATCTATATATATATATATATAATAAGATATAATGGAAGTTTCCGGGTTTTTATACCATTAGTACTATTGCTCATCAGCAACGAAAAGGCATTCCGTGTGTGTAATAACCAAAAGTTAATAAATAAAATATAGAAATATCTCCGATCAGCTTCCTCAGAATTAATGTATGACCATTCAAAAAAAAAAAAAAAGAAGAATTAATGTGTAACGAAAAAATATATATAACACTAGCAGCAATAACATGAATATATATATACCAGAAA